CAGTAGTCTGTAATTATTAGAGAAACGGGTTTCACAAGATTAGTGATAATTCTTTGGAGATTTTATGATCAGATCTTATATAAACTTTTTAAAACACACTATTTGTCTTCCTACAGACACTACCTATCACCGAAACAGACATAGCTAAATGATCTTCCATTCAAATTTCATTTTATAGACATTGTCCACCTATATCGACTGTTTATCGCTCTCTCCTATTACTTATGCATTTTTAGGTGCATATTTATGGGCCTTCTCATGCCCAATATATCAAAGAAAAACTGAACAAGTATATATATATTAGTAAATTCTTTCAATATAACAAATTATAAAAAATCAAAACTTTAATATACCTTAAATTAATAAAATATATTTGAAGATTATTTTTTTCACAGATCTTTCACAATTAAATATTATTCTAATAATTTTTGTATTAAATATTCAAAAAATCTTTTGATAAAATTTCTTTGACACTTTATTTGTTTTCATAGATCTTATATGACAACTTTACATCTTTTTCCTTTGACACATTAAGGTTTTTACATTTCTAGGGGTGATTAAACTCGATATGGCTTTGTATCTTTTGAAAAAATTTTTTTTAAAAAATAATTTCCTACTAAATTTCTTCTTAATAAGTGCCCAAATACTTTTGACTATATTCAACTTTAGTGAATAAAATGCTTAAAATAGATAATCAACATTTCCTTATCTCAAAAAAATTTTGTTAATGATATAGAATATTTTGCATAATTATCAAGGCTAAACATAAAAACATTAAAATTGTACTTTATAGTAGAAATAGATATATTATTCTTTAAAACCGTAAATAATTATAAAGAATCTATTAATATATCTATTATTATAGGACTTCTAACACCCTATTGATAGAATCCCCAAAAACATTTTGCTGCCGCCACCTTCCTTGTTTCTCCCACATATTTTACACACAATGAAACCCAACTTGTGTCCAGACATAAAATATAATTCTCGATGAAGAAAATTTAATTTTTGTTTCGTGCCGAAAATTACAATATTCTCAAAAATTTTGTATGAATGGCAATATGATTCAATTATCAATTTTTATCTTCTTAAATGTTATAAATGAAGAATAATGGCAATTTTACTGCTAATTGTGCGAAAAATTGAACCTTTTCATATATACTTTCTTAATGTTTGGTTTCCAAATGCTTTAAAATTTTCTCTATTTAATTTATCAATTTTATAATTAAATTTTTCCCAGAATTGTTATATCATTTTAATTGAGTAATGTTTTACATCCACTATCGGGTATTTTTTTAATCTTAATAATTTTATTATTTCTTTAATTATACAAAATATTGTGGATTAGGTATGACAATCTTCCTAAAATTAAACTAAATTTTAGGTTATGCAAGAAAAGTATTTTGACCACATCCTTTGTATACTTGTCGCAATGTTCTATCATACAAAAAAAGAAAAGTAATGCTTATATACCTTTTTGTGCATGTGAAATTAAATTTTTGGAGAAGATTTGTCTTGTATCCTGGTTTTTTATTTGACATTTTAATTTTTTTATATTAAAAAAAATTTTACATTTTATTCGATAGAGACAATAAAAATATACAGATTAATTAGTTTTTGACGTATAATAATTATAATTGTATTTTTATATTTACATGCTTTTAAAACCATTAAAGAGATTTTAATTGTTAAAGGGTTGTCAGATTTTTTGACACATTTTACTTTATAGATTCATTCTTTAAATCCAAAGAACATTCAGTAAACATATTTCAATCATTTACATGTATTAAAATGTCAAAGCAACTATTAAGATTACATCTTGACACATTCGCATTTCCTTCTTTGTATTTTTTAAAAAAATTTGAATACGTCATCTCTTTAAAAAGGGCGTTCATATTAATCTAAAATTCATGCTTTACAGTTAAAAAACCATACATTCATTTTAACTAATGCAAAGAGAAAGAATTATTAAAGAAGAAATTTAAATATAACATTTCTTGAGTATCTTTAAGTTTCTGATAAATTATTATATTTGAATTAGATCAAATGAAAAAAATATATAAATAAGCAATTAAAAGGAATAATATATAAATAATTGGGGTTTTATTTAATTATTCGTCTCAGTTAATAAAAACAGCTTTTCCATGAATCCAAGCTCAGGATTAGTGGTATCCTTTCCACAGAAACCCATATAATCATTAATGATAATACCACCACCAACTGAATCATTCCCCATGTTAACTGTACCTGCAGATATTCTCAAATTTACTAAATTTCTTAGTCCATTCATCTCTTCTTCACTGGTCTTTGGTTCTACAAGCATTCCTTGATTATTCATTACTGCATATGTGCCAACCAATGGCTTGTCATTGATGCATATTTTATGCACGGGAACACGCAGAACATCTTTGATTGCTTCTACAGTTTCTGGTTCAATTTCTGGATGTACTAATGCAATATGATCATTGCATAAAATAATATTACCCAATGCATTCAATCTTTCATCAATTCTTCTTACTTTAATGTTTTCTGGCAAATTTTGTCTAATAAAAAAGAGCTCGTGGTCATGTGTTGTATTAGGCAGCAGTAAACCATATTTGTTACCCTGAGTCAAACTTCCTACAGTTCTTATTGAATTTATAGTAGTTTCTATAACTGGAATGGACAAATTTGCAAAATTGGAGGCAAAGAAGTTGTTTTCAGATCTTCCTATTAGTAAGTAAGCTGAGGTAAGTCTAGCATAGGCACCAATTTCAGAACTTCCTTCGTAAGAAATTTTTTGCATAAATTGGGATAAATTACTTTTTTATTAAAATTATTGTAAAATATTTTAAATAAATATAAAATTAATTTTAATATTTAATACAAAAAAAGAAAATAATAAAATAAATATATTTAATGTAAAAGCTAAATTATAAATATTTACAAAAATATTTTCTTTAAATAAAATTTAATAAAATTGCAATGCATTAATTAAAATTCATCTTTTTCTTCTTTTTTACTACTTTAAGAGATTCTATTCTTTTTAAAATATTTTCAGCTGCTTTTTTACCCATCAAGCCTGATTCATCACCCCCAAATACATCAATTTTAGCAGCTAATGCTGCTTTAGAAGCCAAAGTACGCGCAATCTTTCCTTTGAACTGTGGTGGAGCTTGACTCACTAATGGAGAGTTATAAATATAACCATACTTGGGTGTATTTTCTTTATTTTTTACTGCTTCAAAGAATGATTTTTCTGCCCCTAAGATCTGCAATGTAGAGGAAGGTTTCTTAGAAAGAGCCATCAATGTTCCGCAAGCATAAATCATTTTACAAGCAACCACCGATCCAAGTAAATAGACAAAATTAGGTGCTAAAGATTTTGCTTTGTCTTCCAAATAAACTACAAGGGTTTCTTTATGATTAAACGTATGCAATACACTTTTACATTCCTCAACTATTTTATCAATGTCATTATCACCTAAATCAGTTCCCATGGATGATTCACTGAGTTTTTTAATTTCCTCATATTTAACTGACCAATCATTTTTTATTCTCTTTATTTTCTCATCATTAACATTATTCTTTAATTCTTCAATTTTAAAGGCGAATTCTTCAGCACTCATTTTGTTAAAACTATTTCTTCTCCTTACTACAATAACTGCAAGCAAATAATCATAATTGCTTGAAACTAAGTCTTGTAACTCCGGAAAATGATTAGAATACCATTCCTTGATTCTCATAACATGCAAGTTAATGTCTCTTTCTAATGAATCAATTAATGAAAGTGTTTCGGTTATTATTACATCCATTTTTTCTTTGTTTTCCAATTTATTATTGGCCAATTTATGAGAGATACAAAGTAACTCTTTGGAATACTTTGACAAATCAACGAAGGAACTTATGTTTTCTTTTACTGTCCTAACAAGATTTAAGTCATATAAAAACTCTTTATTACTAAACAGCTTATTAAATTGTTTGATCAATGATTCATCGGTTAAATAAATTGTATCACCTCCATTCTTTTCTAAAAATATTTTAATATCATCAGAGATGATTCCTTTCTGGAGTAATAAAATATTATCTAATGATTCAAAAGGGTCAGATAAAGTGTGCTCTGCTATAACAGAAATATTAGCATCATTTACTTCCAAAAGAAAATATTTAAAGGGAGTTTCATAGAATATTTGCATAAAGGGGTAAAATATTTTTCTTATTTAATTTTAATTATGATTGGCCAATTTAATACTTTTTAAAATTATCTGTCTTTTTTCATAAAATATTTGATTAATTGTACAATTAATGGTAATATTTAAAGATAGCTAAGATGTACTTATAATATACAATTTATGAATCAATTATAAATATTTACTTTATTATTTAAATTTATGCCTTTTAAAAATAATTTAGGTGAAAAAATGAAGCTTTGAATTTTGTATTTTTTTTGGTTACTTTTATATAAATGTTGATATTAAGCTTTACTTGTTAAAATTATTGCTTAGAAACTTATAAAATAAATATTTATTTAATTAAATTAAAAAAATAAATAATTATAAAATCATAAAATATATTTTTGTCCTTATGTCTGCATTATTTAACTTTACAGCATTGATTAGAACAATTATACTTTTAATATGTACGTCAGCATATTTAAAAAAACAATTTCCCTCTACAGTCACTAAAGACAGCCGATTTGGAATTATTACCTATAAAGCTGCAATTATTGGAGAAAGATTATCTCCATATGTTGCCATACTCTGTGTTTACTTTGGATTGCTTAAGTTGAAGTCTATATTGTTTTAGATAAAAAAATTAAATACTTAAATGTTAGTACATTTCTATATAACTTTTAAACTATTTATCTCTTCTTCTATGTCAGTATGGCCGAGTGGTTAAGGCGCCAGATTTGAAATCTGTT